GCAGTCTCACCATCAATGACGTCACTCCCGACGATGAGGGCGCCTACCTGTGCCAGGCCAACAACGGCGTGGGCAGTGGGCTCAGCAAACTGGTCCAGCTCAAAGTGCACGGTATGTATGTATGCGTGAAAAAATAATTATATAGGGTCGTTACCCTTTTTCCCAATTTTATTAATTATGAATGCAAACATTATATTTAGCCAATTATTTTAATAAATAACAGCTTTTATAAGTTTATGATTTATAATTTAGGTGATACACAAATTTATAAATTTTATTAATCTATAAATATATAATTTTATAGTCAACTAGTAACTTTTATAAAATATCAAATATACTTTATATCAAGTTTATTATTTTATTGATAGAATATGTGAGCAAAATTGAAAAACAAACATTAATTATATAAGTTATATAATATAACTGTAATTATTTATAAATATTCAGGATATATTAAATTTTCGGAAAAATTTACAAATTATTGACATTTATAATTACAATTACTTATAATATTCTTTTAAAATATACGATAAGTATATAAATAATAGTTATTATATTAATAGTAATATTTTATTAATTTGATTCCCCACTCGTGCTGACCAGTGGGCGCCCACTTCGCCCACAAGTTTGGGTCCCAAACGGTGACCAAAGGACAGGACGTATGGATAGAGTGCTTATCTCTGGGAGAGAATCCCATTGCGATTGTCGTCACCAGAGATGGCATTCCTTTCGACCCAAACATTGATAACAGATATGAAGTCATAAGGAATGAGACGAACGACGCCTTTGGGCTCAGACTTCACATCCGAGACACCAATCGCAGGGACAGCGCTCTCTACACCTGTAGTGCACACAACAGGTATGGCAGCGATGAGTACAACCACCAGATCATTGTCCAGGGTATGTATCACTCAATTGTGTATTATTATAAAAATACTCATTTGAAATGCATGCTGTAAATGAGGGTGGTAGTTTGATATACAGTATAAATTATATTATAATGTTGAATTCAAAAATATGTCACAAGGAACTGTAGCCAAACAGATATTTGATTAAAAATTGACGAAAAATTAATATTTTAGTAAATAATGGAAAGACAAATCCAAAATTAAAATATATTTTTTTTACATTATTACTCATATTTTATATTTTAGTATTACATTTGATATTATTTATAAAATATTTATTTGGAGGTACAATTGTATTGACTGTCATTTTTATTATAAATTTAGTTTAAGTTACAAAATTGTTTTAATATTTATTAATTGGAAACTTTAAGACGCTCATATTATTTTCATATAATATTATTAGTTATAAATATATAGTATAACTAATAGTTTTTAGAAACAAAATTAAATTTTAATTTATTTTTTATTTTTTATGGACAGAACCGCCGGATATACCGGAAAACGTGAGGATAAGTGAGATCTCCTCCCGAAGTGCACTCATCTCATGGATGGAGTCCTTCACCGGAAACACTATTTTAACGAAATATCGGTTAGAATTGAAAACATCTGCCAATAGTTGGCAATCGAGTGATACGTCCGTCGAAACCATCGCTGGAAACGAGAATTCATTCACAATTAGAGGACTCAAACCCATCACTAGTTATCACATCAGAGTTAGGGCTCAAAACAAGTTGGGATTCAGTGCTTACTGTCCGGACATACACTTCACGACCCAAGAGGAAGGTTAGCATACATTCACACCATTCGTACCATTCATTCACTACTTCTTTCTTATTATCAATAAATCTATTGTTTGGACAAAAAATAATTCACAGAATTTTTTGACACAAAAAAGTTTTATTCAATTCTTTTCCCTTTATTTCAATTCTTTGCAACAAAAGTCTGAATCCATTTGTCTTTCATTATAACAAAACTTTTTTATTCATTTCATTCAAAAAAGATTTTCCAATAATTTTCTCCAATTTTTCATTTCTTTTTGTATTATATATAATATAATAATAAGTCTTTTGTTAAAGAATTTAATGAATTGAAAATAATTTGTGTGAAAATGTGATTCTTTTTCATATGATATATAATCAATAATTATATTCATATCTATAATACCCTCTAATATACAGAGCCTTCCGGCCCTCCACTACATATCCAAGTGTTTCCATTGAGCGCCCGATCCCTTGCCGTGACATTCAGAGCACCGGCACCTGAGACGAGGAACGGCCGCATTCAGGGCTACTATTTGGGGTATAAGGCGCTGGAAATGGACACAAACTTTATGTTCAAAAAGCTGGCGATCAATGAGTTGTCAAACGATGGGAACCAACAAAACGAAGTGAATATCACATCACTTATGGCTAACACTAAGTACGCGATTGTCGTCCAAGCCTTCAACGGGTAATTCATTTATGATTTCAATTAAATAATAGATTTAAATAAATATCTTTAAAATAATTTTTAAATGTTTGTTTGTGGTGGGTTATTTATTGAAAATTTATGACCTGATCTATGTATATTTCATTATTATTGATCAGGTTTAATTTAATTATATAATTTCAATCATAAAAATTTATAACAGATTTTATAATTATTAAATAATAGGATATATTTTATTAAGTTTAAAATATTTGCTAAATAAATAATTTAAACGTTTCCGTATCCAGTTTTATCATGAAGTAACTTTCATTTAATTAAATATTTAGTTTAAAAATCATTTACAGTTTAAAATTAATACATTGAAGTATCGTAAACTAAAATGTAAAATATGGATTAAATTAATATAATTTTCTAATTAATATTTATACTGTAGTCACAGATTTTGCAAAAAAAACTGATCATGCTAATTTTATTTCTATGCTAATTCTATTGAGCAGTTTTTTCTGAATAATTTCTAAATTTAATTGAATTAATGGTATTTTCACTCAAATGATGTTTCATTCAATTGTATTAATGGCTCAAAAATAGTGAATATATTTCACTCTCTTTTCAAATATCATTACATTTCCGAAAGAATTAGTCATTCAATAGAAACACACTTTTTATGACTATTTTAAAGAAAAGTTGAGTTAATTATAAGCCATTGAATTGGAGGCCAATAGTGTTTTGTGGCATTAATTCGTATAATGGATGCGAATGTCTCTCAGAATATGTGCACAATATTCTGTTCACTCAATAATGATATGTCATTAGGATATGAACTACGAGTTTAAGTCACAAAAGCCAATAGTATTTTGTGGCATTAATTCGTATAATGGATGCGAATGTCTCTCAGAATATGTGCACAATATTCTGTTCACTCAATAATGATATGTCATTAGGATATGAACTACGAGTTTAAGTCACAAATTATTTTCAATCATTTTATTTAATTATATTTATATATAATTATATTTTATGCTCACAAAGGGGTCGTATATAATGTGATGAGACATTAAATTCAGACCAAAATATTTTAATCACAAAATTCTGGATACAAAAGAGCTTTTAGATGAGTCTCTCTCTCTCTCTCTATCCTCTGATTTCTCTCAAATGAATTAAATTCTTGAGATTTATATCTGAAGTGAGAGAAAACACTCCTATCTATAGATAGACTCAAAGAATATGTCATAAAAACGACACAATTGTGTGATAAGTGAAGCCTATATTGAGTGCAATAAACTGTATATAAAAAAGAGATTAATATCTGAAGTGAGAGAAAACACTCCTATCTATAGATAGACTCAAAGAATATGTCATAAAAACGACACAATTGTGTGATAAGTGAAGCCTATATTGAGTGCAATAAACTGTATATAAAAATATATTGTAACCAAATATTTTTTACTTAATTCACTGTTAAACCATTTGGAAATTAAGAAGCGGTTGTTATTTCTATTTATAATAAACAATAATATATTTTTAAAAATAATCTTTAATATCAAATATTTAAGATTTAATTTAATATTTGTGTTATTCATTAAAATTTTAGATAACATACAGAAATAGTTATGTTTTCTGTACTTAAGTAATCCAAATAGGTTACCATTTTAAAATTAGATGTTATATCGACACTATGTTTTAATAAATGTTACAGTTTTACCATTATAAATAATAATTAAATTTTCGTGTTATTATAGTATTTTCTCAATTAATTAAAAAATAATTAGGTAGTTGTAAAATTTTATAAGATTTTAAATTTCCGAGATTTATGCGATTATTTAATTAGTGATCACTATGGGATGCACCATTAATTTTTTGGTGAATGATATATACATTATGTCTATTATATAAAATATAATTACAGTTTGATTAAACACTATACAAAACTATTTCCATAATTTTTTAATGTTGTATACATTGTTCTGGTAAAATATTTGTCACATTATTTGGGACTGACTTTTTGGCACACCAGGCACACTGGGCACACTCGGCACACTGAAAGCGAGAGAGCTTATAATTTTTAATATTATTATAAAATATAAATTTTTTATTAATTTTATACAAAGTATGTAATGTAGATTATAGTTAAATCAGTTAATAATTTAATAAAATTCGCATCCATTATACGAATTAATGCCACAAAACACTATTGGCGTCCAATTCAGTGGCTTATAATTAACTCAACTTTTCTTTAAAATAGTCATAAAAAGTGTGTTTCTATTGAATGACTAATTCTTCCGGAAATGTAATGATATTTGAAAAGAGAGTGAAATATATTCACTATTTTTGAGCCATTAATACAATTGAATGAAATATCTTTTGAGTGAAAATACCATTAATTCAATTGAATGTAGAAATTATTCAGGAAAATTACTCAATAGAATTAGCATAGAAATGTAATTAACATGATCATTATTCACGTTTAAATCAGTGCCTATATTTATATAATTAAATTCAATTAAATGAGTATAATTACAAATTGTTACAAATTTGTTGAATGATTATAATAACTTATAAACTTATATTTGTTTTTGTTAATCTTAATTTAATTAAATAAAAACTTATCTCATTTATAAATGGTATAAATCCGATTTTCATAAATATTTTTAAATGATTAAAGGTTAATTAAAATTTGTTAAAAATAGCTTGCAATGGATGTGCATATAAGACTAATTGAATAAAAACTTTACTAAAAATAATTTTCATTTAAAAGTAATGGAATTAATATTTTCACACAAATTATATTCAATTCATTAAATTCTTTAACAAAAGACTTATTATTATATTATATATAATACGAACAGAAATGAAAAATTGGTGAAAATTATTGGAAAATCTTTTTGAATAAAATGAATGAAAAAAGTTTTGTTAAAATGAAAGACAAATGGATTCAGACTTTTGTTGCAAAGAATTGAAATAAAGGGAAAAGAATTGAATAAAACTTTTTTGTGTCAAAAAATTCTGTGAATTATTTTTTGTCCAAACAATAGATTTATTGATAATAAGAAAGAAGTAGTGAATAAATGGTACGAATGGTGTGAATGTATGCTAACCTTCCTCTTGAGTCGTGAAGTGTATGTCCGGACAGTAAGCACTGAATCCCAACTTGTTTTGAGCCCTAACTCTGATGTGATAACTAGTGATGGGTTTGAGTCCTCTAATTGTGGATGAATTCTCGTTTCCAGCGATGGTTTCGAAGGACGTATCACTCGATTGCCAACTATTGGCCGATGTTTTCAATTCTAACCAATATTTCGTTAAAATAGTGTTTCCGGTGAAGGACTCCATCCATGAGATGAGTGCACTTCGGGAGGAGATCTCACTTATCCTCACGTTTTCCGGTATATCCGGCGGTTCTGTCCATAAAATTAAAAGTTAATTGTTTTTGATATAAAATCTCACAAAATAATTTTATTTTGAATATTGTATTGTAAAAATTAATTACCGGTAAAATATTATAAATAGTTAAATAAAAACAATGAATCGGTTTATTTGATCCCGATTTAAAACAGTTAAATTATTTGAATAAATATTGCTTTATTTAACATTCAACTTAGTTTGTATTTTTATATTTTATCTTATTTAATTTAATTTAATAAATGATATTAGGTTATGTGTTTGGATTTTATAATTAATCTCAATTATAATTTTTAAAATCTCCATCATTGGAAAAATAAAATATCTATTACCTTGATGTGTAAATGATTTAATAAATGTGAAATCGAAATCAACCAATAAATTTATAGCCAAAATATTTTACCAATTGGATTTATATTAAATGGGCTGATATACAATATTTAATTATTTCTAAAAATTATATCTTGTTAAATTAAAATTAAATTTTATAAATAAGCTTTTACATGTTCGTAATTATTGTAAAAATACAGGGAGGACAAAATATGTCAATGCCACTTTGCCAATATATATAATATAAACAACATATTATACAATGAACTTGAAGTCTTAATTTGTTACATAATATTTTAATTATGTAACAGAAATGGTGATAATAGTACGCAAAAGGAAATAAAACATAAGTCCATTACAACAGTATTTGAAAAACTCGTAGTTATTCATCGGAAACAAGTCATAGCAATAGAAACCAATGTCCCGACCGGACAGGTGCTCAATGAACGCCTGTATTTTCATGTGTCGTCTCAATAATAACTTATTATGCGTGAGATATGTATAAAATTTTGACCGATTTTTGTGAGCATTTCTCGTCACCAAAGTGCAGACATAATTGATTTGAAGCATAGATAAGGAGATTGTTATTATCAATGATATTAATATAAATTTAAGACCTGGCTTAGTATTCGGGTGCTCGCACTCGTAGGCGTATAGATTCATAATAATGGGTACAATAAAATAGATATCCATGATGAAATGCTTTACCCATGCTTTATTCATACTGTACACTAACCTTGATAGTAAGATGTGCCTGGATATAGATTTTGATAATTGGCTAAAGTTTTGTTTTCCAATACACGTGTCAAACGTATTGTTAATCTGACAAAATTGGTATTTAATATGAATTATACCCAGGTACCAAAAAGCAATGCCTGCTGTCATAAAATAGGACTTATGGACAATCCATATAAGTATTAATATACTCCAGAATAGTGTTATCATTAATGAATAGCCATTAGCCTGGTCACAATATGCCATAATATTAGGCGCCACCATGGTGCATAAATGGAATGGCATTATAGTCAATGGCATCACCTTTAATACAATGGTTGACATTATTTTGACATCCAGGGCAAATTTGCGACAATATTTTTCATTTAATATAATAATTGTTTTATTTTCCTTAATATCATTCATATGGCTAAAACTTGCTAGCTTGTTTTCCCGTTCAAAATGATGCATTGTTAATTCAATCATTAGATAAACTAATATTAACAGGGTTAGCGCCGCTGAAAATAGGTGCTTGCTGCCCGTTAAATAATTACCGTCACATAACAGTTGATTGAGCACCGG